CGATGAGGTCAGAAAACGGGAAAGGTGGAGGAAAAGACATATTTGTTGTTGGAGAAAACAACTGCGGGTTAAAGGGAGGAAAATTCTGATTCTGTTTTAAATCAGACATCAGAGAAAAAGGAGGCAGAAAGGAGGCATTCACAAAGTCAGACATGTTCCCTAGGTTGGGTTCTTGTTTGCGTTGGAAAGGGCTGCAAGGAGGCGGGTTTTGTTTGACGCCGCTAGGTGGCATGTTCCAAGCTCTTCTTCCTCTTCGGTCAGGATTTCCATTGTTTGGAGGGTTTGTTCTTTTAGGCAGTTTGTGGAGCCTTTCGGAGTTATTCTGTCCAGAACCTGGTTGAGTCGGTGACCAGTTGGGTGGATAACCAAATGCCGTATTCCGATACATGCCCTCCTTACAAGGAGACGAGCGACTGAAACACTTGCCGCGCCTCTGGTTCTCATCAATAAAGCTAGAGAAAGGTATCTGGTTGGTCGTTCCATTTAAGTGTCCATCTTTAGCAGAAGGTGGCAATGGTGGTTGAGAGAAATACCCAGGACAATGGGTTGGAGAACCATCAGACAGACTAGAGCTTGCAGGAGATGGCAAAGGGCTAGTTGCCGTTTTCTGGGTCACTAAGGGTTCACCATCTAACCATCTGTGTCCTTGGCTAGCCAACGGAAAGCCCTCGTTCGGGCTAATACAAGGTACTGGAGACTTTGCATAGGACTCCTTTTGGATTTGAGGAGTGATATTTTCGAAGGTGCCAACTTTTGGAAAACCGGAGTAGTTTTCCGACCCTTCCTTGTAGTGTGCCTTTTGTGTGGTCGGATGGAAACCGTGAGTTTTAGAAAATTGCTGATTAAACTGGAACGCTGGTGGCTTCATACACAGTGGAGAAAAGTCACCGGAAGGTTTTGCATATGTTTCTTTTCCCCAACCTTCTCTTGGGCCAGGCGGGTAATTCATTTGACCGGTTGGGCTACCCCTACTGAACTTGCCTCTCCCCTTGTCATTTTTCCATGAGGGCCGATGTACGCCAGAGTATTCTTTTGCCCTTTTCTGTGAGCTGGGGCAGACGTTAGCAGCTTTGCTTCCAGAATCTCTTCCGTTAAACTTGACAAAGCCGTCGACGGACTGATTAGGCCAGTCAATGGGCTGGAAGGAGGAATTCAGTTCCAAGGCTTGATTTTCAAAGTAAAGGTCTTGGAATACATCTTCTAGCCTTGGGCTGCAGGTGTCAGGGCTGGACACCCAAGTATCCAGCAAACCCAGGTCCTCAAACCCTCTCTGAAGGCTTTCGATGTCTGGCAATTTTCTTGCAGGCTCCTGGTATGCTTGGGGGCCAATTACGTGGGAGATATCATTTCCTGGAAGGATATTGGGTACGTATTCAGAGAGATTCTGGTGTGGTCACTTGCAGCCCACAGGGGAGGAAACAGTCTAGATAGCGAGTCCCTGAAAAACAAAGAAAAAATGAGGAAGAAGTCCAGGCTAATAGTTATCTCTTTATTAAAATAAGTCATTAAAGAGGACCTCTGACCTTCTCTTCAGTCAAGCAGTTGTACCAGCTAATGTCCTGGACTGAATTTGCTTACTCTGATTTCACAGCCCACCTCATTTTATGACTGGAAGAAGTCCAACATCATCTAGCCCTTTCCACTATAACCCTACTGTCCCTGGTCCACCCCTTTGATCCACTGGATTCTAGTTGTTTCTATAACTGGGGCTCAGCAACACATGTGGGCGTCACCACAGCTTTCTGTTTTCAGGAAGATATGTACTGCACCCTTCTGACCCTACTGACCCATTCTTCCAGCCATGATCTGTCTGCATTGCATAGAGAAGCACAGAGACCAAGTAATGACATCACCATATCTAAACGAAGGTAATAAATGGAAAACTTTTATTTCAAAATGTCATTACCACGTTGATGAGGAGGCTGGAATAAAGACTTAATGTGGAACTCCAGGCTATAACTATCTAATCTTATATCTGCTCCTACCAGGGGCGGACTGACAACTCATGGGGCCCCCGGGCAATAGGGGATCATGGGGCCCCTCTGTCCTTGCCCAAACTCAAAAAAACCTATGAAAAACGTACCAGGGGCATCTCAAGGGGCCCCCTACTGACCCAGGGCCCTTAGGCAGTGTTTCCAAATGGTCAGTCCGCCCCTGGCTCCTACCCCTCTTCTAACACCTATACTAACCACCCTGTAGAAGGAAGGCCCTTATACCTACCTATCCTGGTCCGGTCACATGATAGGATTCTAGCAGCGACTACAGGGGAGAGACATGACAGACGACATTGGATGCGCCATAGTCACCACCCAGGCATTTCAGCCATTGTGGGTGATCTCTGCTGTACGGGACCTCTGTATGAGGTCCCGATCATGTGATCACTGATTGGCCAATCAGTGATCACATGCATAGTAGTAAGCAAGATGTCACTTCTGACATCATTGCTTACTACTAGTGAAATCTGTGAATGATCACAGAGGTCACATGGTACAGGGCTATTCACAACAGCCTTGTACCATGTGACAAGCTGTGACCAATCACAGCTCACACAGTATTTCTCAATGGCTGCAAGAATGCAGCCAGAGAGAAGGAGAAATGATTGTTTTTGCAGCCTTTATGGGTGTAAAAGCAATCAGTGTAAAAACAAAAAAAAAATCTTCATCACCCCCCACAAGTAGTACAGTCACCATGGTCACCGTCTGCTCTTTCGATCGGGACCTTTCCAATCATGTGACCACCGTGACGCATTACACCCCACCCGGTCCACCTCCCGGCGCCTGAAACTCTTAAAGGGCCAGGAGGCGCTGGCAGGAAGGGGTTAACCATTAGCCTACAGGGCACTTATACCCCCTTCCTGCCCAGGCCAGTTTTCAGCGCTGTCGCACTTTGAATGACAATTGTGCGGTCATGCAACACTGTACCCATATGAAATTTTTAGCATTTGTTTGAGACAGATAGAGCTTTCTTTTGGTAGTATTTCATCACCTCTGGGTGTTTTTTATTTTTTTTCTAAACAAACCAAAAACAACTGAAAATTTGGGAAACATTTTGTAAGTAAGTGATTTTTCTCCTTCACTGATGTGCGCTAATGAGGCTGCAGTGATGGACACTGATGGGTGGCACTGATGAGGAGGCACTAGTAGGTGGCACTGATGGGCATTGGCAGGCATCACTGATGAGCACTGAAAGGCAGCACTCATATATGGCACTGATAGGCAGCACTGATAGGCGGCACTGACTGGCACTAATAGGCGGCACTGACTGGCACTGTTAGGCTGCACTGATAGGCGGCACTGACTGGCACTGATATGTGACACTGAAAGGCAGCTCAGATGGGCACTGATATGTGGCATTGATGTGCACTGGTAGGCACTGATAGGTGGCATTGATGTGGCACTGATGGGCACTGACAGCTGGCATTGATGGGCACTGTTAGGTGGCACTGCTGGGGCTACATTGATCATCAGGGCACACTGATCATCAGTGCCCTGATGATCAGTGTAGATGTCCCCTCCGAGGAATGCCGATTACCGGCTCTCCTCTCCTCTGTCAGTGTGACAGCTCGTGAGGAGAGAAATGCCGATAACCGGCATTTCTCTATTTACATGCGATCAGCTGTGATTGGACACAGCTGATCACATGACTGAGCCTAGATCTTTGTCTCTTTCCATTGATCGGTGATCTGCTGTGTCTGAGGGACACAGCGCACCACCGATCGCCGCGCTGCGCACTCCCAGAGCTGCACACGCACGGTTAGAGTGGGGGGATGTCATATGACGTCCTCCCAGAACGAGAGAACCGCCTTGCGCCCATTATTACCTTATATGGCGGGCGAGAGGCGGTTAAGATACATTTTTAGTGCAAAGTGATATTGTTTCCTGATAATCCACCCCCCTCCCCCCCCCCCCATTAATAGGATTCCCTGGTGGATGATTACATGGCCCCTCACATATCATTACCCAAGCCTGGCATGTGGTCACTCAGGTCCAAGAATGGCCACATGGGGAAGGTCACATGTTCTCCGATACGCAGACCAAGGGCTCCCTGGAGAGGCAGCAACACCTTAGTAATCAGAACCCATGTCAGAAGACCTCTAGGTACCTACCAGTCAGTCACAGCATCGATTTTGTTTGTGTCTTCTGGGAGATTTGACATCAATCCGAACACATCTGTACGGTTTTCAGAGTCGGGGTAAGTGAACACAGCACTAAATAAGAAGAACATAAAGTCATTTGAAGAATTTGAACTTCACTTTTGTTGACGCAAAAAAAAAAAAAAAAAATTTTGTTGAATCTATAAACAAGTTTCTGATCGTGGAATTCACTCCAACCCAAGAAAAGTCGTACGTTGTATTATGCGCATGTACTTGTCAAACTCAATCTGGAAGCAGGAGGTTTGTTCAACAAATGTCAAGACGTTGATATGGTACTCCAACAAAGAGTTGTTCGAAATCACTCAAGCCCCTAAAGGCACTTCAAATGGTTGGACGAGGGATTTTTTACTTTCTCATCATAGTGTTCAAACAAAATTCTACAGGTCACCTGAGGCATGTTTACTTCCCCATATGCCGGGACATTTTCTACTCCCATTGGCCACAGTTCGGCCCCCCTAAAGTCTGATGGACAGTAATCTGGCCCTTTGTTTAGTTAGGTTGGAGATGCTTGGACTAGATTAATTTTGAATGACTTTTTCGTTCGAGTACCACTTCAATGTCTTGACTTTCGTAGAACGAACTTTGTACTACCATATTACCCTATTTTTCGCTCCAAAGGACGCACTTTTTCCCCCCCAAAAAAGGAGGGAAAATATCAGTGCGTCTTATGGAGCGAATATACAGTAAAGCGGCCGGTCCGGTATTTCCGCCACCACGTCAGAATACCGGGCATGCCGCTCAGCTGTTCTTACCTATTCCTCGGTCCAGCGCTGCAGTCTACCCGCACCGGCTTCTTCCCGCCCCGGCATCTGTGACAGCCGGGTGCCCATTGCACATGCGCGAGAAGCGCTGCGCTTTGTGAATGGTCCGGTGTCTCATGATAGGTCCCAGAAGACGCCGGGCCATTCACAAAGCGCAGCACTTCTTGCACATGCGCAATGGGCACCCGGCTGTCACAGATGCCTGTACTGTCCGCAGTTTCTGGTCATCCCCTGTACTATGTCCGCAGCCTCTGGTCATCCCCTGTACTGTGTCCGTAGTCTCTGGTCATCTCCTGTACTGTGTCCGCAGTCTCTGGTCATCCCCTGTACTGTGTCCGCAGTCTCTGGTCATCTCCTGTACTGTGTCCGCAGTCTCTGGTCATCTCCTGTACTGTGTCCGCAGTCTCTGGTCATCTCCTGTACTGTGTCCGCAGTCTCTAGTCATCTCCTGTACTGTGTCCGCAGTCTCTAGTCATCTCCTGTACTGTGTCCGCAGTCTCTGGTCATCTCCTGTACTGTGTCCGCAGTCAGTCTCTGGTCATCTCTTGTACTATGTCTGCAGTCTCTGGTCATCTCCTGTATTGTCCGCAGTCTCTGATCATCTCCTGTACTGTCCGCAGTCTCTGGTCATCTCCTGTACTATGTCTGCAGTCTCTGGTCATCTCCTGTATTGTCCGCAGTCTCTGATCATCTCCTGTACTGTCCGCAGTCTCTGGTCATCTCCTGTACTATGTCTGCAGTCTCTGGTCATCTCCTGTATTGTCCGCAGTCTCTGATCATCTCCTGTACTGTCCGCAGTCTCTGGTCACTTCCTGTACTGTGTCTGCAGTCAATTGGTTCAGAATATTTTTTTTCTTGTTTTTCTCCTCTAAAACCTAGGCGCGTCTTATGGAGCGAAAAATATACGGTACCTTTGACAAGTGCACGCGCATAAGCACTAGATATGATTTTTATTGGCCATGACTGAATTCAATGGTTTAGAAATTGGTTTGTTCCCAATAGATTCGACAAAAATTTTCCATCCTTATCCTTTTATGCTTTTTGTAATTAACATTCTGGTTGAAACCTATTGTTGAATTGTTCTCTTTAATGAAGGACAGTTTAACGAATTGTCATTTTCAGAACGTTCGTTCAGTTAAGAGGAAAAGGGGACAACTGGACAATATGTTTCAACCATAAAGAGCAAAAAAACTGGAAGATACAGATTGAAAATTTTTGTTGAATCTATAAACAAGTTTCTGATTGTTGATTTCGCTCCAACCCAAGAAAAGTCGTAAGTTGTATTATGCGCAGGGGCGGACTGACCATTTGGGAACTCAGGCACTGCCCGAGGGCCCGGGGTCAGTAGGGAGCCCCATGAGATGCCCCTTGGTACCTTTCATAGGCTTTTTTGGGTGTGGTTTGAGTGTGAGCGAGGACACAGGGGCCCCATGATCCCCTATTGCCTGGGGGCCCCATGAGTTGTCAGTCCGCCCCTGATTATGCGCATATACTTGTCAAACTCAATCTGGAAGTAGGAGGTTTTTTCAACCAAAGTCAAGACGTTGATATGGTACTCGAAAAAAAAGTTGTTTGAAATCAGTTGAGCTCCTAAAGGCACTTTAAATGGTTGGACGAGTGATTTTTATACTTCTCATCGTAGTGTTCAAACAGCTAATACCAATGGCTCATACGATTGCCATCAATTGTTTCATTTTTTTAATAAAAATCCATTATGTTGAATCAGGCACGTTAGATTGAGATGCGAAAACTGCGTGTTGCACTAATGATGTGAAAAACGAATGATCCAAAATTTTCATTCAGTTTTCTCATCATTTTATAAGGCTAGACTCTTTACTTTGGGCTCATTTCTATTCAGTAGATTGAGAAGGAAGGAGATCACCTCCAACACTACCATCTTAGATGGTAGTCAAGACGTTGACATGGTACTCGAAAAAAAAGTTGTTCGAAATCAGTTGAGCTCCTAAAGGCACTTCAGATGGTTGGACGAGTGATTTTTATACTTTCTCATCGTAGTGTTCAAACAAAAATCTACAGGTCACCATAAGGCTAGACTCTACTTTGGGCTCATTTCTATTCAGTAGATTGAGAAGGGAGGAGATCACCTCCAACACTACCATCTTAGATCGGGGGAGAATGCTATGTCCTGGACCTCTCTTTATCCTTTAGAGAAGACTGAGAAATAAATATTGTATTTCTAAAATTACCTCTTCTCCAAGCAGTCTGTTATGGAAGGTGTTTTGGTTTAAATAACATAAAGTAATTTGAACTTCACTTTTGTTAACTAAAAAAAAAAAAAAATCCCCTCTAGGCCATCCAATCTAGAAATCCTCACCCACTTCTGTTATGGAGCTATTGAGTTTAGCATTCACCCTTCCTCAAACTGGCTGCTAACCGGGACAGTCTTCCTTCACTATAGTCACATGGACAATCTCAGTCTTATCTTCACAGGCTAGACCACTGGTCTCCAAACTGTGTCCCATGGGCTTGAGGTGGCCCTTTGCTTGCCTTTATCCTACACTATTCCTCCCACTGCTGAGGGATGGGTGACTATTCCTGCCATGATACCTACGAAAGAGTTCTATCCTTCTCACTGACACCAAAGATGGGCCCGATTCCTGCCACTGATACCAACAATGGGGCAGTATTCTTGCCATTGACACCAATGATGGGGCACTATTCTCCCACTAATACCAATGATGGGGCACTATTGCTCCCACTGATATCAATGATGGGACCCTCTTCCTTTATCTAATACCAATGATGGGACACTATTCCTCCCACTGACACCAATGATGGGGCACTATTCCTCCCACTGATACCAATGATGGGGCACTATTCCTCCCACTGACACCAACGATGGGGCACTATTCCTCCCACTGACACCAACGATGGGGCACTATTCCTCCCACTGATACCAACGATGGGGCACTATTCCTCCCACTGATATCAATGATGGGACCCTCTTCCTTTATCTAATACCAATGATGGGACACTATTCCTCCCACTGACACCAATGATGGGGCACTATTCCTCCCACTGACACCAATGATGGGGCACTATTCCTCCCACTGATACCAATGATGGGGCACTATTCCTCCCACTGACACCAACGATGGGGCACTATTCCTCCCACTGACACCAACGATGGGGCACTATTCCTCCCACTGACACCAACAATGGGGCACTATTCCTCCCCACTGACACCAATGATGGGGCACTATTCCTCCCACTGACACCGATGGGGCACTATTCCTCCCACTGACACCAATGATGGGACACTATTCCTCCCAGTGACACCAAATGATGAGGCACTATTCCTCCCACTGACACCAATGATGGGGCACTATTTCTCCCACTGATACCAATGATGGAACACTATTCTTCCCACTGATACCAATGATGGAACACTATTCCTCCCACCGATACCAATGATGAAACTCTATTCTTTCCCCTAATACAATGATGGGGCACTATTCCTCCCACTGATACCAATGATGGGGTACTATTCTTCCCCGATACCAATGTTGGGGCACTATTCCTCCCACTAATACCAATGATGGGGCACTATTCCTCCCACTAATACCAATGATGGGGCACTATTCCTCCCACTGATACCAATGTTGGGGCACTATTCATCCCACTAATACCAATGATGGGGCACTATTCTCCCACTGATACCAATGTTGGGGCACTATTCCTCCCACTGACACCAATGATGGGGCACTATTCCTCCCACTGACACCAATGATGGGGCACTATTCCTCCCACTGACACCAATGATGGGGCACTATTCCTCCCACTGATACCAATGTTGGGGCACTATTCCTCCCACTGATACCAATGATGGGGCACTATACCTCCCACTAATACCAATGATGGGGCACTATTCCTCCCACTGATACCAATGATGAGGCACTATTCTTCCCACTGATACCAATGATGGGGCACTATTCCTCCCACTGATACCAATGATGGGGCACCATTCCTCCCACTGACACCAATGATGGGACACTATTCCTCTCACGAATACCAATGATGGGGCATTATTCCCCCCACTAATACTATCGATGGGGCACTATTCCTCCCACTGATACCAATGATGAGGCACTATTCCTCCCACTGATACCAATGATGGGGCACTATTCCTCCCACTGATACCATTGATGGGGCACTATTCCTCCCACTGATACCAATGATGGGCACTATTCCTCCCACTGACACCAATGATGGGGCACTATTCCTCCCACTGATACCAATGATGGGGGACTATTCCTCCCACTAATACTATCGATGGGGCACTATTCCTCCCACTGATACCAAATGGGGGCACTATTCCTCCCACTGATACCATTGATGGGGCACTATTCCTCCCACTGATACCAATGATGGGGCACTATTTCCTCCCACTGACACCAATGATGGGGCACTATTCCTCCCACTGATACCAATGATGGGGGACTATTCCTCCCACTAATACTATCGATGGGGCACTATTCCTCCCACTGATACCAATGATGGGGCACTATTCCTCCCACTGATAGCAATGATGGGGCACTATTCCTCCCACTGATACCATTGATGGGGCACTATTCCTCCCACTAATACCAATGATGGGGCACTATTCCTCCCACTGATACCATTGATGGGGCCACTATTCCTACTATTGCTTCATCATCACACCTCCCCAAAATGCCTCTTCCACTCCTCCTTCTCATTTTCCCTCTCCTCTGTTCCCAAAATCCATTCACTATATCCCTCTGCTCCTCCCAAACATTTGTATATTGTGCCCTCACTGCTTCCCTCACCCATTTATGGCACCCACCACCTCCTCCTATTACTCCACTCTCCCCACTGACCCCAACACCTCCACTAGTAGTTTCTCACGCTCCTGCACATCCCGCTCCCATGCCACCTTTCTCACCCTTCTCCTCCTCATAACCGCGGGGGACATCTCCCCGAAAACCGCGGGGGACATATCCGATCCTGGCCCTCCACCACCTCCCTCACCCGCACACCCTCCCCCTCCCACCTCCACGTCCTGCACAACCCCCGCAACTTTGTATCTGTCCCCCCTGCTCCCTAAAATCTCCCCCCCTTTTCATGTGCACTCCTGAACGCCCGATCGGTGTGCAACAAGCTTACCGCCATCCACGACCTCTTTGTTTCCCGCTCCCTCAACCTCCTGGCAATTACGGAAACCTGGATCCAGCCCACTGACTCTACCTCCCCTGCTGCACTCTCCTACGGCGGTCTCACCTGGACCCACTCACCCAGGCCCAACGGTCGTAAAGGTGGTGTGGGGTTGGCCTGCTCCTATCACCGCTGAGCACCTTCCGAGTCCTCCCAAACCCCCCCTCCCTATCCCCTTCTCCTCCCTTCCTCCTCCCCACTGCGTCCGACTATTCTCCCCAACCCCCCTGAAGATTGCTGTGATATACCGGCCTCCTGGATCCATACCCCGCTTCCTGGAAGACTTCTCCTCCTGGCTACCCTTCTTCCTCTCCTCTGAGCTACCCACTATCATCCTTGGGGATTTCAACATCCCTGTCAATCCAACCTCGACAACCCGGACACAGCCCGTCTCCTCCACTTAACCTCCTCCTTTGCACTTGCACAGTGCATACAATCCACCACCCACTCCGACGGTAATATCCTTGATCTTGTCTTCTCCAACCGCTGCGCTCCCCACAAC